TATACACCCATCCATTTAGTCATCCATCTCCACACACATCCATCCATCCATCCCATTATACTTCTATCTGTCCATCCATCTCCATACACATCCATCCATCCATCCATCCAGGCATCCATCCCTGTACACATCCATCCATTTATTCATGTGTCCCCATACACATCTGTCCATCAATCCATCCATCCATCCATCCATCCGTCCATCCATCCATCCATCTCCATACACACCCATCCATCCATCACCATACACATCTATCTATCCATCCACCCATCCATCCCCTTATGTACCTGTCCATCCATCCCCTTATATATCTATCCATCCATCCATCCATCCATCCATCCATCCATCCATCCAACTCCTTACACATCTATCTATGCATCCATCCCTACACAAAAACATCCATCCATCTCCATGCACATCTATCTACCCATACATCCATCTGTCCATCTATTTCCTTGCACATCTATCTATTCACTCATCCACCCCATCCACATCTGTCCATCCACCTCCATCCACACCCATCCATCCATCTATCTTTCATTCATCCTTATATACACCTATCAATCTCTCCATCCCCATACGCACCCTTTGGTCCGTCTGTCTGTAGTATCTGGAGCTGTACATAGGTTAAACGTTGCAGCAAAGCCCATCGACATGGGGCCAGCAGCTGGCTGGCTTTGCTGGCGCGTTCTGACCTGGGGCACGCTCACCAGGACGCCTTCTGCTCTGCTGGCAGGGACACACTTTGCCCAACTCTCGTTGATCCCTTTTCACCCAAGCGCTTTCTGCCACTCCTTGCTGAAGCATGGGGCAGCGGGGCCTGTGGGTAGATCACCTCCCTGGCAGACTGGACAGTCCAGAGGCTAATCCCAGCGCTGGTACTCAGAGGCCGTGGGACTGCGGCGAACCACATGCCCTCTCTGTGCCTCGGTATCTCCGGCTGTACAACAGGGATAATGACCCTGACCTGGTGAAATTCCCCAAGACGCTGACGGCCCTCAGGAGATCCAGCCACTGGGACTCCGAGAAGCCTTGTCATAGAGTCCAGGTTGGAGACTGACCAAGAGCCAACTCCAGGCTAGATTAGGAGTTTGCCTGCTGCTGTCCCAGGCCCTCCCTCCTCTGACGGCTAGAACTCATCTCCTTTCCCAGCCTCTATGATTCCTGGCCAGTTAATCCCCATTTGACTCCCTGGGGTTCGCTGAACCTTTGCAAAGTGCTTTGGGATCCCCGGCGGAGATGCCACTCTCGGAATGCCCGAGGGCAAGAGGAGACAGGAGTTTCTTTGCTGTGCGCATGGTGCTCGTGTCATGGGCCGTTGTCCAGGGACACCCCCTGCCCTCCAGCCCGCCTCCATGGGTCACGACTCCTTCTGCTTGTGGTGAATGACCCTCCACAGGGGCCCAGGGTTTGGGGCAGGTCTGGGGCTGGTTCTTACCAGACTCGAGCCCCCCGGTCCTTGGTTCCAAGAAGAAGCAGCCATGTAGCCACTGCTCTGGGTACAGACCGATCCCTACATTCTCCCCGCTGCCCACCCAGCATCCCCAACAGCCCCCACTTGGGCCAGGCATCCCAGGGCTGCCCGGACTCTGGGTTTCCACAGGGCAGACACTGGGGGGGTTGGCGTGGCCCATACTAGGGGAAGAGGGTCTTTGCCCCTCACGTGTGGCTGCTGCACTGTTTCTGGGTCAGCTCTAGCAGCCAACTCTGGGGCTTGGCTCTTCAGTTCTGCAGCAGGGATGTTCAGCACAGGGGGTTGCAGGTTCAAACCCCGCTGTCAGCCCAAACAGGGCCACCGCTGGGTCTCCAGCCGCCTTTGGTGCTTTTCTCCATGGGCATTCTGGGCAGGGCTGGGTCCCCTGTGTCTGCCAGTCCCAGGCAGCCCCACCCACCCGCTGCATCTCACCAGCCTATCCCGGGAGCAAAGTCCAAGGCCAGCCATGACGCTCCCAATGTGTCCTGATCTCAGACAGGGCCTCTCCCGGCCAAACCCTAGGATGTGCCACTCCCTTTGCCAGCCATAATGGTATATCCTGGTGTCTGCACCAGGGGGACTAGCAGGGGCCAGACACTGTGGTCACATGCGTGGGGCACAGAGGGTCTTTGGTTTTCCCACCCCTTGGGCATCTGATCCCTTTAGAGCAGTGGTTTTCAACCTGGGGTCCGCAGACCCTGTGTCTAAGATTTCCAAAGGGGTCTGCACCTCCATTCGAAATATTTTAGGGGGCCGCAAATGAAAAAAGGTTGAAAACCACGGCTCTAGAGCGTCCACCCTCTATACAGGCTCCCCGCCACCAGAGGGCGACATCCCAACCACTGGGAGAGCTGCTTTTCTCCAGCAGGGGGCGTCAGCCCCAGTCAGAGCACCCTGGGGTGGGGGGACACGGTAACCGTGGGGCAGAAGCCGCTGTGGGGAGTCTGCCTGTGTAATACCCTGGCTTCCCAGCCCCCAGCCAGGGTAATGTCTGCTCTGCGAGGGACGCCTCCTGTGAGGTGCAAAACCCCAGGATATCTGGGGCGGTTCTGAGCTGGTCCAGCTGACACTGGGCACCGGACAAATTTCCCAGCACAGCTACCTTCAAAAAGGGCTGGGCAAAGCTGGCCAGGTAGCAACCCTCACTCAGGCTGCGCCTTGGCTGCTGACGGGTGAGGGTTCAAATCCCCCCTCCCTCAAACGCTTGTGGGTCTGACACTGTCTGGATTCCCTCTGGGATTCATTTTCTAGCATTATTTCCAGGCCTTTGCCAAAAGGTGGGGTTGTTACAGGACAAGACCAGTGGGAGTTTGCTAGTCAATTAAGGCAGGACCCCGCTCTCCTCTCAGAGCCAGGGACAGAACCCAGGCGTCCTGACTCCCAGCCCTCCCGCTTCAACCAGTGGACCCCAGAGCCAGGGACAGAACCCAGGAGTCCTGACTCCCAGCTCCAACCACTGGCCCCATCCCTCAGTACTAGGGAAGAAGTAAGACAAGCGGCCTAGAAGGAGATATCCCCCAGGCCAGCCCCCTCAGGCTAACAACAGGGAGTGCGAAGAAGCCAGGGAAGGGTTTGCATGGGGAAGCTGAGGTCTGGCAAATTCAGGACTGGGATGGGCTCATCGGCCTGGGAGCTGAGGGAGATTCTGGCCCATGCGACAGGTGGGGCAAAGGGAGGGTTGGTGGGGGACAGCGACGCCAGGCTGGGGCCGGCTCTTTCTTTAGGCCTGCGTCCACCCCCAGGGAGCTGGGCTCAGCAGGGCCTTTCCCCCTGACAGTGCCCGCTTGGGGGACAGAGCGGCTTTCCGCTCCGTGGTGCTGTGGTAACCATGGTTATGTCAACGCCAGCCACTCCGAGGCAGAGAGACTCTGGTCTCTTGTTGGGGCAGTGGAGTAGCGCTGGGGGTCAGCAGCCCATCAACACCGCCCAATTGGTGTGAGCTTCCCCGCGGCTGTTCCTAGAAGGGCGAGGAGCGGGCGGGCGGGGTGGGGGAGGCACGAAATTCCTGCCTCCTGCAGTCTTCGCATCCTGTCCTCAGCTGGGCTGCAGGACAGCAGTTGAGCAGCTCCTGTGCCCCACCCCAGAGGTGGCTGCATCTCAGGAACCTTATTAGGGGGACCAGATAGCAAGTGTGAAAAATCGGGACACTTTTTTTGGGGGGGTATAGTTGCCTATATAAGACAAAGCCCCTAATTTCAGGATGGTCCCCGAAACCCCTATAGACAGTTTGGGATCCTTCTAAGGGAAAACCCCTTATGGTTGTCCACCGTAGAAGCGGCCTGCTCCCCTGCCCCCAGGCCTGTCTGTGGGCTGTGTACTGGAGACACTTCCCCGCCCCCCGATCTCCCTCCCTCCGAGGGGCTTCCCCGCACTGTCAGGTCTCAGGCGCTGTATTTATCCCGGGCTCCCCGCTGAACTTCCCACCCACCCGAACCCGGCTCCCTCGGCCGGGGCCCTGGATCGCAGCAGGACGACACGTCTAATGTGCCCTATAAATAACCCCTTCCCTCCAGCTGCTGCTGCCTGAGGGTTCTCACGGGAACCAGGTCCTGCTCAGGAGGGTGGGGGGAAGCAGAGGGGGTCGGAGCCCTGCTTGAGGGTGGGATCTATCTGTGCCCATCCCCATGGCACCAGCTCATGGCTTTGCTGATGGAGGGATCTGTTGGAGAGGGAGGCAGGTGCCCTGGGCCTCTGCTCTGCCGTTGAGACCAGCAGGGAGCCCCATTGCCAATCCATCCGGGTTGCTTCCCCCCAGGGCGCCTCTCCCCGAGTGCACCCCGGCTCTGCTGGAGAGGGACCGAGACAACCGCCGGCGCCTGCAGGACCCCTGAGCCGGACGCCGCTAGCTGGCCTCATGTCTGCACTGCAGCTGAAGCATGTGGGAGCCTTTTACCCTCTTCCTGCTGCTTATGTCGCTCCAGGGAACAGCAGAGGTGAGACTGCACCCCAGGGTGCTCCCCCCCCACGGCTGGCACTCAGCTCAGTGACCCCCCCAGGCAGCACCTCAGACCCCTGTTGTTCCATCTCGGTGCAATACCATCCCCTGCAGCAACTGCACCGCAGCCAGCGCTCCTGCCCTGCTCCCCACAGCGCCCCCTGCTGGGAGAGGCCGGGACTGGAGTAGCTGGGAGCTCCCCCACAGCCAACACTCCTGCCCTGCTCCCCACAGCACCTCCTGCTGGGAGAGGCTGGGACTGGAGTATCCAGGAAGTTGTATTTTCCTCCTGGGGCTGCAGTCTATTCAGGGGGACAGGGACATGGCTGCACCCCGAGCCCTTTGCCCTGACTCCCATCCTGTTGCAGGCGAGCTCCTCGGAGAAGTCAGCCAAGGACATGTTTGCGGCCTGGAGGCAGTACCAGCAGGAGTGTGAGCGCAGCATGGCCGAGGAGCCGGAACCCACAGGTGAGGGGAATGGGTTGTCCCTTCTGGGCCGGGGTTGGGGTGGGGCCAGTGGGTCTCATGAGTGCACCCGGCACCCACTCGTGCATCCCAGCCCCTCCTCTCGGCACATATTGCCATGTTTGCGAACCCATGTTGTGTGTTCTTGCATGGGGTAGCGTGTTAGTGTGGTCCATGTGCATGCCTGAGCGTGGTGTCTGTGTGCCCTCTTTTGCATGTGCATGCATGTGATTGGCATGTGCATGGGGGAGCTGCCTGGATGGGGGTGGTTATGCAGGCACATTTCTATGCATGTGTGTGATTTGCGTGTGTGTCTGTGTTTGCAGAGGCAAGTTTGTGTGTGTGTGTGTGTGGTTTGCACAAGTGTGTGTGATTTGCACGTGTCTGTATTTACAGAGGTGAGTTTGTGTGTGTGTGGTTTGCACAGGTGCATATGATTTGCATGTGTCTGTGTTTGCAGAGGTGAGTTTGTGTGTGTGTGGTTTGCACCCGTGTGTGATTTGCACGTGTCTGTGTTTGCAGAGGCAAGTTTGTGTGTGTGAGTTGCACATGTGCACGTGATTTGCACGTTTGTGTGGGTGAGTTTGTGTGTGTGGTTTACACACATGCGCGTGACTTGCCCATGTCTGTGGACGCTTAGGCCTGCTTGCCGTGCATGGGTCACACACGTGTGAATGTGATTTGCACATGGATGCGTGCGGCCGTCCAGGCCTGTGTGACCGGCGTTTGCCCGTCTCTGTGACGTGCGAGTGTTTTAAACAGCCTCTTATCTTCATCCCCTCCCAGGCCTGGTGTGTAACCGGACTTTTGATATGTACGCCTGCTGGGGGGACACTCTGCCCAACACCACCGCCATGGTGCCCTGCCCGTGGTACCTGCCCTGGCATCACCACGGTAAATATCCCTTCCTCCGAGGCTCGTTCCAGCCACACCCCCTTCCCATGCCTGCCCCCTCGGCCCGCCTGCTGGGACCCGCTCCCTGTCCCTGAGCTACGGGGCCCGATTCTGATCTTGCTGGAATCCAGAGTTTTGGGCCTGGGGCTGCACTGCAGAGGACCAGGCCTGCGGGTGTCAGCTCCGAGCTCAGGTCCACGCAGAGTACGGTGATGTTAACCCGCGCGTCCCCACACTCCCATGACTGAGGCCGCGAGGGTGTGTGTCACTTTAAGGGCAGGGCGGGGACATCTGTGGGCAGTGGCGGTGTGGCTGTGGCTGACCCCTTCCCCCCCCTCGCCTGCCACTTGGCTCCCTCTGGTCTCCTCCCCGGCAGTTCGTGGCGGGTTCGTGATGCGGCTCTGCGGCCCGGCTGGCCAGTGGGTGACGGACGAGTCGGGGCTGCCCTGGAGGGACCACTCGCAGTGCGAGGATCTCAGCACAGACCACCCCTTCCAGGTCAGTGCCCCTGCCGGCCAGTCCACAGGCTGCTTCCCAGCCTGGCTCCCAGCTCCTAAGCTACGCGGCTTTCTCTCGTACTGCTCCCACCCAGCCTCTGGCTCCCTCTGTGCTCCGGCAGCCCCTCCCTCTCCAGCGCTGGAGGGATCTGTTGGCTGGATGCGGCGCTGCCCGGGAAGGATCCAGCCGCCGGGTCCCCGCTCTGTTTGCAGATCAATGCCCGCGCCAGTCCCTGATTGTCCTGGCAGGGGGCGCCCTCCCCTGTAAATGCTCCGAGTGGCAGGGGTGGGGCGGAGGGAGGGGGCGAAGGAAGGGGCAAGGAGCCCGGACCTGACCCTCCGCCGTGTCCCTTTGCAGAAGCAGGTGCGGTTCCTGGAGCAGTTCCGGCTGATGTACACCGTGGGCTACTCCCTCTCGCTGGTCTCCCTGCTGCTTGCCCTGCTGCTGCTCCTGGCTTTCAGGTACTGCAGAGCCCGGGGGCACGATGGAGTTAATGGTCCAGATCCGGATGTCAGTGCAAAGGGCATGCACTGAGGTCACTCGGGATTTGCACCCAGGTCGCAAGGCAGGGTTCAGACCCGTGGGTTTTATCTGTACCATCTCCCTCTTAAAAAAGCAAGTTTCCTTTAGTAATTAAGGGCCTGATCCTGGATTTGGGCCCGATGGGATGCCGTGCCGCTCCCCAGTTTGACACTCCCTTTGCTGCAGGAGTCACTCCTGTTTGACGCTCCCTCTGCTCTTGGTTTGCTCCGTGTGGATGGGGTGCATGGAGCCAGGCCTGCAGAGTTACCCGGTGTAAAATCAGAGTAAGCGAGACTGGGATCGGACCTGGACAGCTGCCCATTTCTGGCATTGGTCAGTTTCATTCCTGGTTAGTCAGTGTCACGCCCAGGGCCCCAGCCCAGAGCCCGGGGCTGTACAGCCCAGCTGTCTTCACCCGCTGGCTCAGCGTGACTCTCGGCATAAGGGCCCGGCACTGGGTCAGCGCCCGGTGACGCTCGCACGTAGCTGGTGTAGATGACCACAGCTGATTAGTTTCAATGCTGGAGTACGGCTGCCCTCCCATCCCCCCGACTGATGGTCCCACCCGCTCTGCAGGAAGCTGAGATGCACCCGCAACTACATCCACGTGAACCTCTTCCTCTCGTTCATGCTGCGGGCCGTCTCCATCCTCACCCGGGACGCCCTCCTCCGCGTGCGCTTCTCCAAGGACCTGCGGCACGAGGGGGACCTCTTCCATCTCCTCGGGGACCAGGTACTGCCCGGCCCTGGGCGTCACTCCCAGAGGGGGCGGGAGGAGCAGATCCAGAGCCCCTTTCTGACCCCGGGGGGGGGGGAATCCCTACCCCCAAGTGGGGGCACTGCAGGGAGCACCCCGTACATCGGGGCTGAAAGCCCGGGGACCCCCAAGATCAGCAGGTAGGCAGTATGGGCCAGACCCCACCTGGCTTAAACCAGCACTGAAATTCATGGAGCCGAGTCCGCTGTGATCCAGCACCAGTGGTGCTCTGGCCTGTTTACACCAGTTCCGGACCTGGCCCCAGGCTGACCCACTCCCAGTAGGCGCCATGGGCAGCAGGGTTAGGCGTGGGATCAGCGAGGTAATCCGGGGGTGGGAGGGATCCACCTGCGTATCCGTAGGGCGTCCCCACCACATTGGAAGGGGAATTACTCAGAGCAATGGGACGAAAGGCAGTATAGGGAAACTGAGGCTGGATTCCGGGCAAAGCTTCCTGACTCGAAGATCCGTGGGGTGGGGGAGTTGCCTCCCCAGGGGAAGGGCTGGGAGCATCCCCATGGGAATCTGGGCCAAGCCATGGGGGGACCGACTGTAGGGGACGCCCCTGTCCCAAGCGGGGATGGGCTGGCCGTGACTTGATGGGGCTCCTCCATCCGCCACCCTCCAGCATTCCCACCTCTCTCTGCTCCTCTCCCCCGCTTCCCCGGGGGCTCAGGCTGCCGCCGGCTGCCGCCTGGCTCAGGTCCTGACCCAGTACTGCGTCGGGGCCAACTACTACTGGCTGCTGGTGGAAGGGCTCTACCTGCACAACCTACTTGTGCTGATGGCCATCTCGGAGGAGAGCTGCTTTGTGGGCTACTTGCTTGTCGGATGGGGTGAGTGGGGCTGTGCAGGCATGGCCGGGAGGGGGCATGATGGTGGTACTGCAATGCTCGCTGGGGCATAGAGAGACCCCCTTTGGTGACCCTAGGCAATGCAGGCTGGGAGCTGGAATGGGCCCCAGCGTACGTCTGCATCCAGCAGCCCCCCAAAATAATCCCTTTTAGGTGCGTGCCCCAGCCTGGCCCTGCTCTGCCGCGAAGGGCAGTGCGGGGCTCCACCCACAACTCCTGTTTCACAGCAGGTCTAGGCATCCCGGTGGGTAACGCGCCGGAGTCCTGTCTCCACTACCACTAGCACTCCCACCAGTGTCAGAGATGCACCGACCGGAGAGGAGAGGGAAAATGCTAGAGTGTATGATGCTGTACACAGGGGAGAATCTCACGGGTGGGGCTGGAGAACAAAACCCTAACTGCTGCGTCTGTCTGTTCATCTAGGAGCCCCCATCCTGTTTGTCATTCCCTGGGTGATCATCAGATACCTCTATGAAAACAACCAGTAAGTCCAGCCAGCGAAATCTCTCTGGTTCAGGGTCCAGCACAGAAAGAAAGTGCTTGGAAATCCTCGAACATGGGGTGGCCTTGTCAGCGGGTCTCCAGGGAGCAGGGTGGGAAATGGGGGGTTTGGTGCCAGGAAACATTTTGAGGGGAAACATTTAAAAATCCGTTTTGTTTTCTTCAAAAACGTCCAGGTTTTCGTCGAAAATCCAAATCCCGAGGTTTAAAAAATAAACGATTTTAGGATTTCAGCCAAAATTTCTCAGCCTTCAGTTGCCAAAAACGCGAGGGGGGAAATTGGCTAAAAACGAACCTTTCCATTTTGATGAAAAAATCACTTCTTGTCCAAAAAAACCATGTCGAATCAAATGTCCCGAGCGGCTCCAGCCCGAGACGGACGCCATTTTCCCCATCCCTGTTCCACACCCATGTAAACGGGTGCGTGTGAGCTCGCTGCATTCACAGCACTTTGCGACCCCAGACCCACGCATGAGTGTCGCTTGTAGGACTTGACCCATCCATCTCTGGTGTATCAGCTAACGGGCTAATTCTGCTAGCCAGAGCGAGTAACAGCTCCGAGGTTCTTATGTGCTCCAGCCAGGGGTTCTCAACCTTTTTCTTTCTGCTATAAAAACTCCACGGCCCACCTGTGCCACAACAACCGTTTTTCTGCCCCCACTCCACCCCTTCCATGAGGCCCCGCCCCTGCCCCTCCTCTTCCCACCCCTTCCCCGCCCCCATT